TTGGTTGCTTTCGAGAAGACCAAGCTACTGCAGCTCCACTTAGCATAAAAACATAACCTGAAGTACTTCTTCTATCCTCTATTGATCCAGCATAATCACTGTCAGTAAAGCCAATCAATTCCATATTTCCTTCCCTTTTGTAAAGAATGTCATACATTGTTGTACCTTGCAGGTAAAGTAGAATTCTTTTCGCCGCTGAATAATGAACTTCTGTAGGTCTTGACATATACCTTCTCAATAAGCTAACTGCATACATTATGTCCGGCCTTGTACCGGTCAAGTACATCAGGCTTCCAATCAGCAGCTTGAAAAATGAACAATCCATCTCAACACCATTGTCATCTTTGGAGATTTTAAATCCAGGAACCATTGGATTTTCAACAAAATTTCTATGCTTCATTCCAAACCTTCTTAACACTTCTGTCACATACTTTGTTTGACTGATGAATATACCACCATCAAATTGAATTACATCAATATCAAGAAAATACCTCATCTTGCCCAAGTCTGACATATCAAATTCCTTCATCATGGACTCTTTGAATTCAGACATCATTTATTCATCATCTCTGGTATAAATTAAATCATCAACATATAGGCTAATGATAAAAAATTTATCTTGTTTGACTTTGGTAAACAAAGTTTGCTCACTATCCTCCTTCTCAAAGTCTTCCTTTCTGAAGTATGATTCAATTCGGCTGAACCAAGCTCGTGGTGCCTGCTTGAGTTCGTACAAAGCTTTGTTAAGCTTATATACCTTATGCTCCACATTCTTTATTTCATAACCCATTGGCTGCTCCACGTACACATTTTCAGCTAACTTCCCATGAAGAAAGGCTGACTTCACGTCCAGCTGAAACACACACCAGCTTCTCTGTGCAGCAAGTGCCAAAATCATTCGAATCGTGTCCATACGAGCTACAAGAACATATACTTCTTCATAATCAACTCCATATTTTTGAGCATACCCTTTTGCGACCAAGCGAGCCTTGTATTTTTCTAACTCTCCAATCTTATTCAACTTGGTTTTGTACACCCATTTGACTCATATTGTTTTCACTTCTTTTGGCAGCTCCGTGAGATCCCACGCTCTGTTCTTCTCAATTGATCTCATTTCTGCATCCATGGTTGTCCTCCATTTCTCTTTCTTTACTGCTTCATCAAATGAAGTAGGATCAGAGTGACATGCATGAGCAAACAGGACTAAGTGAGTTTGTACCTCATCCTCTTCATCAGAAAGGCCTTCACCGGAGACATAGTCATTCATCCATCCTGGTGCTCTTCTATTTCGGGGTTCTGTCACTAGAGAAGCTGCATCTTCTTCTTCATTACCATCAGCTGCATTTTCTTCTTCATTACTATCACTCAATTCCTCCATTTCTCCACTTTTCTCATCTTCCCATTCCAAATCAAACGTGTTATCTTCTTCGGAGCTCTTCTCCTAATTCCATTGCCCGTCTTCTTCAAAGACGACATTCCGACTGATAACAATCCTCTTGGAGGTAGGATCATATAGTCGGTATGCCTTTGATTCGTCACTTACACCAACTCGATCGCCTCCAAGCGTGTCAATATACGCCATTAGCACCAACTCTTATGATTCCTCCAAACCAGCATAATTTGCTTGGTACTCGTACTGGAAGTGTCCAAGCTTATGACACTTGTAACACTCAATTGTTTCCTTATTCCTCGATTGGCTACCCATGCCTTTGCCATATCCTCGGCCTCCTCAGAAAGCAGCTTTTCCTCTTCCACCATAAATCTCTTCATGAGTCACCTTTAAAGCATGTTCATCTTCTCCACGTACTTTGAAATTTTGCTCATGAACAAGCAGAGAGCTTTGCAAGGCATCCACAGATAGTTGATCTATGTCCTTGGCTTCCTCAATGGAACAAATAATGTAGTTCCACTTATCAGTGAGGGTTCTCAAAATCTTCTCAGCGATCTTGATTTCACCCACATCTTCCCCATAATTCCTCATGTCGTTTGCAACCATCATTACTCGACCAAAATAATCTATGATCGATTCACCCTGCTTCATTGCTAAGACCTCAAAGTCCCGGCGTAGACGATTAAGCTGAGCTCTCTTCACTCGAGCATTTCCTTGACACTTCAACTTTATGGAATCCCAGAGTTGTTTAGATGTCTCCTTCTGCGTGATTGTCTTTAGAATTGACTTGTCAAGCGACTGAAACAAGTAATTCTTAGCCTTCAAATCCTTCAGCTTCATCTCCTCCAGGTTCTTTATTTGCGTTGTCGTCATCCCATCCCTACTTGTGGGCTTTGTGCAGCCTGATTCGACAGCAACCCGATACTCCGTAGATCGAAGGAGATTCTCCATGACCATGCTCCAATGTTCGTAGTCGCTACTTCAGAATAGAGGTTGTTGCAAAGTTTGCTTCTGAACCCATTTCTCAGGTAATCGGCTCTAGATACCAGATTGTTAGATGCAAAAGAACTCAAGAGAAGAAAATAACAGTTTGGAAATGATTGATTTATTCCTTGTGAAAATGCAGCTAATAAATAGAGAAAATCTAATGTGCTGTAACAAACTACAGTCATGTTCTGCTATGATTTAGGAAACAAACTTGACTACAAAAATTAAATTAAATCAAATAACAAATAATGTTGAAAACTAGGACACTTTTGATTAAGCCTTATCAATAATATGGTTAATACCAAAGTGAAGGATCTTTTGAATGTTGATGGTGATTGGGATTGGCTAGCTCTCTAGTAGTGGATACCTAGTGATATTTTGAGCAAGATTAGAGATATTCAACTTCCTGCTATTAATACAGATGTTCAGGAAAACATGTTGTTGGAAGACTTGGCTTTCGCTAACGGATCAGTGAAGCATTTTTACGAGTTGTTGGCGGAGCATAAGCATTTTGTTCTTAATCGAGATTGAAAGGCCATTTGGAAGTTGAAGGTTCTAGAGAGAGTGAGAAATTTTATTTAGCTCTTGAAGCACGATAGGCTGATGATGAATTTGAATAAGAATATTCGAGGGTTAGGATTTGCTGCATGTAAGTTATGTGACCATGCAGTGGAAACGACGTCACATAATGTGCGTGACTGCCTAAGAGCCAAGGAAGTGTGGGTGTATCAAGTGCCACTAGAAGTTTATCATGAATTCTTTAGCCTTGATTTGAAGAAGTGGATAGCTATGAACATTAATTACAAATCTAAGAAGGAAGGGGGATGGAATAATCTTGGGATATGGCTTGTCATACTATTTGGTATTGGAGAAATAAAGAGAAACATGAGGAGAATTTTGTTAGGCCTTGGAATCCTAGTGTGCTTGTGTCCGTTAGGGTGAAATATTATGAAGAAACCTTGGTTTTTAGTAACAAGGTTGTGGGTAGAAGTAAGGAGGTTTATCTTGTTAAGTGGTTACCTCCTAAGTTAGGAATGGTGAAACTTAATGTGGATGGAGCTTGCATTGAAGGTGTTTCTGCAGGGTGTGGGGGGCTTAATTAGAGATGAAGAGGGTTGTTGGTTTGGTGGTTTTGCCAAGAATGTGGAGATTTATAAATGCTATTTGGCGGAGTTATGGGGTATCTTTGAAGGATTGATGTATGCTTTAGACATGGGGCTCAGGAGAATCAAAGTTAATATTGATTCCTTAGAGATCGCTATGGATTTTAATCAAGGCCGAGCTAGTAGAATTGACGGGTTTGAGATGCTCTAAAAGATTGAGAGTCTTTTAAGTCACTTTTATAAAGCTATTGTTGTGCACTCTTTTAGAGAAGCGAACTAGTGTGCTAATGCCTTGGCTAAAGGCGGTGCAAATTGTCTATCAAATTGTCTTTTTTTTCTACTGCTCCGATTTTTATTGAGCATTTGCTAGTGGGGGATAATTTGAGGGATTTCACCTTTAGGGAGGTGTTTTTGTAGTTTACTTTTTCTTGGGTCTTTTGGTCCTCATCCTCACCAAAAAAAAAATTAAATACTATATATAAGTCATAATTAAATATTTAAAAATTCATTTTAATTATCATCGTAATTAAATTTTAAGAGTGTGTTGCACAAAATGTCGTTAGCGTAGATCCGCTTCCATCATGTATGCCTTGATCTATTATTTTTATTTTGATTATAGGGCGCATATATTATTAAAATTTATTTTATAACAATATATTAAAAACATCAATATTAATATTATTTTTAATTAAACTATCTTTGTTCGAAAATAACGCATATGAACTTGTTAGTCGACAAATATTATCATATATAGATGGATAGGATTAAAACGGATTTGACTCAATTTTTCTCACTTATAGCGCTAAGAATTAAAGGGTTATAATAAAATAGACGATATAAAAAGTTGCTATGAGAAATTTTGTTCTAAGAGTCAACATGTCTTTTATACCATTTGAATTTGATATTTTTAACTTCTTAATGCCAAATGTTATATGTCTTTTAGAGAATGTCTCAGGACAATGGATAAAAATGATGTGTCCCTTGTTTATGTATAATGAACATGTCTTTTACAGAACGTCTTGTTGTACACATAGATCACTTAAGTTTCACATAATTCATAATCAAAATCAAATATGCACAAAATTAATTTTGGTTTGCCGCTTTGTTTTTTAGCTGAACTACTTTGTAGCTTTGCGTCCATTTCAATCCTAACAAACTTGTAAGAACTTAAAAACAAAAATTAAAATTAAAAATAAAATAAAGTCAAGAATAACTTTTCAAGATAACGTTTTCAAAAAGAAAGGTCTACACATAATAATTCTAAAATGTTGCAAGAATATTTTATTATGCAAAGAAAACTATTCCTCTTCTAATATAGCAAATACTTAAGATAAAATAAAGTATCATTATATTTTTGAAAGCAATACGTTGTATTGTAATATACCATGTTATAGTAAAATACTCCATAAAAGTGTATATATTGTTTCCTAGTGATTCATTTTATCATATTAAGTTTCGTTAGTTTCATTGTGAGAAGGAAACTCAAACAAACCAAAGTAGTGACAAAACAAAACTCACAAATGGCAGAAGAAAAGAAACCAGAGACAAAAGATAGAAAGATGAATAAAATTCTTCTCATAATTAACTGTTTATTATTAGCCTTAGGAAACTCCGGTGGTCCCCTCATAATGCGTCTCTACTTCATCCACGGCGGCCACCGCGTCTGGCTCTCCAGTTTCCTCGAAACCGCCGGCTTCCCTATAATGATCCTCCCCCTCACAATCTCATACATCAACCGCCGCCGTATCCACCAAAATCCACCACCATCAACCACCGCCCAACCGGCTGCAAAGCTAAAAATAATCTCCATGAGACCTCCTCTTTTCTTCGCGGTAGCTTTCGTCGGGATCCTCACCGGCCTCGACGACTATCTCTACGCGTACGGCGTTGCTCGGCTTCCAATTTCCACTTCCGCGTTAATAATAGCTTCTCAGCTTGGTTTCACCGCGGTTTTCGCTTTTCTGCTTGTGAAACAGAAATTCACTGCTTTCTCTATAAACGCCGTCGTTTTGCTTACCGTTGGAGCTGGGGTTTTGGCTATGCATACCTCTGGAGATCGACCTGCTGGCGTTTCTACGAAGCAATATGTTATCGGTTTTCTCACTACTCTGGCTGCTTCTGCATTATATGGATTTATTTTGCCTTCAGTTGAATTGATTTATAAGAAAACCAAACAAAACCTTACTTATTCTCTTGTTATGGAAATTCAGTTCGTTATGTGTTTATTTGCTACTCTCTTCTGTGCAGTCGGAATGATCGCAAATAACGACTTTAAGGTAAGATATCCGTTTAAATTTGGTGGATCTTCTACGATAATACAGACACAGTTGTTAATCAGGTCTGATCAGCTATTCTGATTGACCCGATCAACAAATCTGTATCTATATTATATATTATAGTAGAGAAGATTCATATATTAAATTATTTTTGTTTTTGGTATTTAGTTATTTTAATGGTTTATCAGTGTGATTTTGGATTTTTTTGAATATGAAGGTGATTCCGAGGGAGGCCAGGAATTTTGAATTAGGGGAAAGGACTTACTATGTGGTGTTGGTGATGAGTGCAATGTTATGGCAAGCGTTTTTCTTGGGAGCAATTGGTGTTATTTTTTGTGGTTCATCTTTATTGTCGGGTATTTTGATTGCTGTTTTTTTGCCCGTGACTGAAGTGTTGGCGGTAATTTTTTATAAAGAGAGATTTCAAGCTGAGAAAGGGGTTTCTCTTGTACTTTCTCTTTGGGGTTTTGTGTCTTATTTCTATGGTGAGATTAAACAAGATAAGGAAAAGAAGAAGAAACGTGCTATGGAGACAGAGATGGGGCATAGTCTTGAAGTACTACCTGCTCCATGATTGCGATGCAGCTTGTAGAATTGTAGAAATGTGTGATTTGTGTGTGAATTACTAAGCGAAATGCTTTAATTGAATGTTTTTTAGTGGAAAAAAGGGACATCAAGTGTGAACTCCTGGTCAAATAAAATTTGAGTAGTTTATAACTGTTTTTAGGAAAATGGTAGTACTAAAGAGTGCTATAAGAGATTGTTTAATAGTTTACATCAATACTCCTTCCAAGAGACGGCGGATCTACACGGGTCGCGGATATAGTGACATGTACATGTAAATACGCAATGTCTTAATGTAAAGCTATGTCTACTTTTAATATGATATTTATTAATAATTTGTTAATATTCTCTATAAAAATATTCTATAATTGTATTTATAAAAAACTTAAATGAAAATATTAATGCATAATATATGTCTCAACTAATAAAATAAAAGAATGATAATGACATGTTAAAATAGATAATTTAATGGGTCATGTTAACTAGTGTCCCCCCAGTACTAGTTAAGAATTCTAAATAAAAAAAAAATGTTTAGTTTATTAAATACACACAATATTTTTTTAAAAAAATTGATTATTTTTCTTTTCAATGTATTGAATACATATATATTTTTAAAAAATCTGTCTTTTTAATCTCTTAAATAATATTTAACTTATTATTTTAATCTCTTAACCAGTACTTTTGGAGCACTCCTTAGCATTTTCCAAATTGAATCAATACATACAAAACAACAACAACCTTCGATCTACTAATCACCTCATTTGCATGTGCTTATTACTTGTTTTGTGTCGATCATATCGACTATGTCCAATCACTATGGAGGAACAACAATTCTTTTAAAACCTTTTCAGCATACGAGAACTATCATACTAGCGTCCACAAAAAGTCCAAATTTCAAGTCCATCCAAGAGCTATGCATGGCAACGGGGTGGACGGAGGCGAGTTTAAGCAGACCCAGATCCGCCCTCGTCTCCCAAGCCCATATTTGTCCCCGCCCTCAAATCTAGTCGGAGCTAATAATTGGTCCCACGCCCCCACCCCCATCAAGGAACGGATATCCTCGCACCTGCCTCGCCCCCACCTGCATAAATTATATTTTATTTTAAATTATATTTTATTTAGATTTTATTTTTTCAATAACAATAAAAATAAATAATTTAACTAAATAATTGATTATTGACATTTTTATTTAATTTGTATTTTCAAAAAAAAAATAATTCTAATAAACATGATATTGTAAGATTAAAAAGTGTAAATGATTCATAAAATAATTAAAAATAAAGAAAATAAATTAAATTTAGTATGCAGGTGCAAGGCAAGGGTGGGTGTTGGGAGGGTACTAGCATCCCCCGCACCCGCACCCGCACCCACAAATAAAAATCAGGATTTCCCCGCACCCACACCCGCCCCCAATTATATCGCGTTTTCTCCATTAATTTCGGGGGGGCGGGGCGGATTTATTTGTCATGCCTACCAAGAGCTCTCTGTAATTCACTTTTAACTAATAGCAAGTTATTATTCTCTCTCTACTATATTTAGAGAATGCTTCAATTCAGATAACTAGTTTCAAATTCAATTTAAATTCATTCTTCTCCTTCACACACAGACTTGAGCACCAGAAGTTCAGGCATGCCATTACTTCTGATTATCACTCCATTTTTGGTTCAAGATAGGAACATTGGTGTCGTCTATGTGAATCGACTTCTGATTCCTACATTCTCAAAGAATTCACATTCACTCTTCAATTCGCCTACGCAATCTCCTCAAGCCACCAAATCAAGAGCATCTGAGTTCGAACGCGGGTGAATCCGATCAAACATCATTTCAACTTTGATTCCTCGAATTTCTAGACCTCTGACTCATTTGCTTCCAAGTAATGGTTAAATCCAAAGCCACTCAGTTCGATGTTGCATGAGAAGTTGTTGTCGCGGTTCAAGTTTTGATTAATCAATTGCATCCACCTCCTTTGTAAAACAATATGAATCCTGGAGAAGGAGTTCTATTAGATCCAGATCTGACCCAGATTCTTCGGGTAGCTGGATATGTCCAATTTTCTTAGACTGCTCCTCCAATTCAACCTCTAGTTTCATAACTTGAAGGCTTACCTAGCTTCCAATTACTGCGACCTAAGTTTGGTCTGCAAGGTGCTAACAAGTTGTTGAATAACATATATTACATTGTTCGGCAACAAAATTAACAAGCGATAGAAGATAGGTTACTTCGCCTTCAAGATGGCATCCACAATGCGCCTCAGTGACGGAGCACCGTTCAATAGGTTGTACATAAAAGGACTCATATTTTCGATCCAAATCTAATCGGAACGAAGAAAGAAGAAACTCCTAAGTCAATAGATCAGCTGAGGAGTAAGAAATTTCAATGTCCTCCCCAAATTCTCGAGGGATACCGAAATAGTCATGTTTCTCAACAAAAGCATCCACTATGCCCAAGGATTTTGGAAAGTAAAATACCAAAATCCACAGAGAAGCGGCTCAAGCCCAATGAGTACGATGGAAAAGGAGATCAAGACGAGCACATGCAACTCGTTAATGATCGAATGAACTACTTTAGTGCTGGTGAGGCTTCCGATAACATCTTAAAACCTGACTCTTAATATAAAAGGGCATTAAAATTTGACTCGAAACAAAACATGCAACTTCAAGAGTATTTTTCAAAAACTTTGCAACAAAACTAAAAATACCTCAAAACATAAAATAATTATCTAAAGCAATTACTCAACGAAATAACTCCAAACAACAACTTCAAAGAAAACAATGTGCCATGTCCTCGATGTTACAGATCACATCATATAAACCACTAAAAGCAATAAATGCAATTATAAACGAAGGCAACCTCCAAATCCATCTTCAAACTTGCAAGTAACTACTCTTGCCAAGTACCTGATATTCTGTACTCCAGAGGAGCACAGACTCTACTACAATAAAAAGGGATGAGAATATATCTTACAAATGATAACAGTGAAATTTAGCAACATGATGGTGGTTAACGAATTCATAAGTACAATATTCACACAAAAATATAGGGTTTGACTATAGTTCAATGAACAATAAGGTCAAAATTACCACTAAGAAGTTTGTTTCTCCTAAGAAGAAAATTCAGTTCTTGATGAAGGACCACATGTTCCATCATCCGGCTCAATATGTGTACCCTCATACCATAGGCAATAAAAAATCATCTTAGAGGTGTCACCATTGGGGTAGATATGATCATATAAGACTCATTTCTATATATTGTATGGCTATCCTCGGTTTTGTAGTCAGCCAAGGCCCAAAAGAAAGAAGAAAGGGAAGAAAACTCAAGCTAAAAAAGTGTGGAAACCCAAGGAAAATTTTGATTATCTTATAAATCATACGTCTCTTACTGTTTCCTCTAGGAAGATTGGTATTTTGATAGTGGATGTTCAAGGCACATGAATGGTGAAAAAAGTCATCTTGAAGAGTTGAAGCTCTACTCTAACATTTATATCACCTTTGATAATGAAGCTAAATGAAGAATCAAGGGCATATGCAAACTGTTTAGTCCAGGTTTTCCTTGTCTTGATGTTATGTTTTTGGTAGAAGGATTGACAACAAACTTGATCAGCTTCAGTCAACTATGTGATCAAGGTTTTCATGTGAATTTCAACAAGTCGGAGTGTATTGTCTCCAGAAAAAATATTAAGAGGTGCTAATAAAGAGTTCAAGATCAAAAGACAATTGTTATTTGTGGGTATCTCAAAGAAAAACTCATCCCTCAATGGCTTGATATCCAAGGTTGATAATGTAACGCCCCATTTTATTTTTATTATTTTTCGTAATTAAAATTAAGTGATGAGTATGTGTATGTATGTGATTATGTATTGTTGTGTATATTTATGTGTTATCTGTATTTTTTATGTGTTGGGATACCTGTGGTAGGGGATAGTGACCTTAGAATTATAGACTTTAAGGGTGAGGGTGAGTGACTAATTATGTAGAACTTAGTGGTGTGGTGAGAATGACTAATTAAATAATATTAGTAATACTAGTTGAATATTATTAATTTAAATAATTAGTGGATATTGTTATTATTATTCAATTTGTAGAATTAATAATAATAATAATAATAATAATAATAATAATGATAATGATAATAATAATAATAATAATAATAATAATAATAATAATAATAATAATAATAATAATAATAATAATAATAATAATAATAATAATAATAATAATAATAATAATAATAATAATAATAATAATAATAATAATAATAATAATAATAATAATAATAATAATAATAATAATAATAATAATAATAATAATAGAAAAGGGGAAGTTGAGAGGGGTTCGTTGTCAGGTCATGAAAATAGAAAAAAAGTGAGAAAAGGGAGAAAAGGCTAGGGGTCAAGGAAGAAGATGGAAGACTTCATTATTGAGGTAGAAGAATTATAAGAACTCTAAGGTAAGGGTGGGTTTCTAATTATCTAAGGGATAACGTAAAGATTGTTGGGTAGATTATGGCATGTAGGTTTTGTGTTTCTTTCTCTATTCATGATTTTGGTGAATTGATATTGTATGTTTGATGAAATTCTGATGAATTGTGAATGGTTGTTAATGTTGAGATAGATGATAGAATGAGGTACCGTTGCAAATTCTGTTGTTGGATTCGTATAAGTGATTGTGATATGTTGTTAATGTTGTTTGTCGTATAATGAATTCTTGATGGATTGTGTATCATTATGTTTCGGTGGCAGAAGTTGAATAATCAGTCAAAATGAATGTCGACTGTGCGTAAAATCAGTGGACGAAAAGTTTCAAAATCGAGCTTGCAGACGTCAGTTATATTAACCTATGTTCCACATAGTTTAACCTGGCTTGCTCTTTTTAATTTTTCGACTATTTTTCGGTCGCATTTTGATCATTCTGAGCCTTTTAACCTGGCAAAATTTATTTCAAAATTTGACCAAACGCTATATTTTTCCTAGGCGTTTATTTCGCGTTGATCATTTTGGTGCATTCATTTTAT